ATCAGAGACAGAAAAAAATGTAAGGATGGAAACAGAGGTCTGAGAGGAGAGATGATGCTACGTGGCTGGCTCTGAAGATGGAGGAAGAGGCCGCAGCTGGAGAATGTAGTTGACCTGTAGAAGCTGGAAGAGATGAGAATGGATCCAGAGGAACAAAGGCCTGCCAACAGCTTGACTTTAGCACAGGAAAATGCACTTCAGAATTCTGATCTCCAGAACTGTAGCAGAATAAACTTGTGTTATCTTAAGCGAAACACTGTGAGACTTTGTTACAGCAGCAACAGGAAACTAACACAAAGCCCTACCCCTAAGCATATATAAAACGCCAAGCTTTGTGCCTGGCTCAGTAAGTCCTCAGAGAGGTAGTGGTGGTGGTGGTTTTGGTTCTCCCCAGTGTCAAACCCTGGGTGTTAGGTGCTTCCCACAAAGAAATCAGACCTTTAATTCATTCAACAACCCTTCATAGAGGACCTGAGGTCAGAGTGGTCCAGAGCCCCAGACTGAGTCATACTGCCCAGATTCAATCTCGCCTCATCTTCTGGCTTTCGTTGGGTTCAACCACTGCTGGGGGCAGCAAAATGTCAGTGGGAGAGAGGGAAGGGAGAGAGGTCAGCGTTCTTCCTGCCAGCTCTGCCTTGCCCTGTCCTGTAGGATTGGTACCTGTTACTTCCCTAGATTGCTGTGTTGGGATCCTTAGGAGGGCTGTGGTTGGCTTTCCCTGGAAATTTCCCTAGTGGTTTCGCTCTTTGCACACTTTTTGTACTCTATGCCCAGCCCTTTGTAAACAACTCCTTCCTGAAACTATTCTTATGTGAGTGTGCGACCATTTTCTGCTGGGACTCTCACTGGTACCCTTCATCACCACCACCACCATCATCATCATCATCACCACATAATGTCTTTGAGCTCCGGTGGTGGTTCCCCTTGGTTATGGCTACCATGCCTGCTCTTTAGACAATTCTCATGGTTCATCCAGGATTGAGCTGAGCTCTCTAGATGGGGTACAGTACAGGGGAGCACTCCAGGCCTGAGAAGGAAGCAGGAGGAAGCCAGCCTGGTCACAGGGCCCTGCTGGGGACTTATTTTAAGGCCTGTCACCCCCTCTCAGCCACTATCTCCCAAAGACATGCCAGCTGGGAGGAGGACGGTGACTCACACATGCCTGCCTCCTGAGCTCCCTTTCCTGGCCAGGCTGGCTCTGGCTAGTGGCCCTGGGGCTGGGCCATCAGGAGCACATACTCTTCTCCTACTGCAGTGAACTAAGTGAGCTTGGAGACTGTAAATGGCCACAAGTCAGGGAGTAACTGGCCAGCCTCCAGCCCTCTCCAGGATAGAACAGCCCCAGTAGCCCGTGTCCTGACGGGGACAAGAAAGGCAGGCAGGGCCATTCAGAGGTGAGCACCTGGCAAGGTCTTTTTTCTAGTAGCTGCGTTAAACCTGAGGGAAAAGCTCTAATTCATTCATTTATTCAATAGATTATTTCTTGAGTCCTATTCCATTCTAGATGCTAAGGATACAGCAGTGAACAAGACATGAAATCCCTGTCTCTGGAGAGTTGATGTTCTAGCAGAGGGGAGCTAGATGATAAACCAAATAACTAAAATATTTAGTATATTAGAAGGTAGCTTTTCCACAGTAGCAGTTTCGTAGCCAAAGAGGTTTATCAGAGGTACAATTATTGCTAATTAAAAGCTTTTCCCGGCTCGGTGCCCATAGCACAGTGGTTATGGTGCCAGCCACGTATACCGAGGCTGGGGATTTGAGCCTGGCCCAGGCCTGCTAAAAACAACAATGGCAACTGCAGCTGGGCGTTGTGGCAGACACCTGTAGTCCCAGATACTTGGGAGGCTGAGGCAAGAGAATCACTTAAGCCCAAGAGTTTGAGGTTGCTGTGAGCTGTGATGCCACAGCACTCTACTGAGGGCAATATAGTGAGGCTCTGTCTCTGGAAGAAAAAAAAAAAGAAAAGAAAACTTTTCCCAATACGCCACTGTGACAACTTTCAATACAGTTGGCACTGGCAATTTTTGACAGTCTCTATGGAGACTGAAAAACAAAGTATATTAGAAGGTGATGATGCCAAGAGGGAGAGGGAGAAAGAGGGAGGATCACTGGGGGTTTAGCAGGAAGGTCAGAAATCACTGGAAGGTGAAGTTGGAGCAAACGCTTGATGAGGTGATTGAGGGCACCTTAGAGATACTCCAGGGGACAGAGTTCCAGGCAGGGGGATCAGAGAAAAGGCCTAAGATGTGTCTGGAACATTCGAGAACCAGACAAGGAGAGTGCTGGGGAGTGAGGGAGGAGAGAAGGGCAGGGATGGGCTCAACAGAGCATGGCCTTCCTATTAGAACTTGGGCTAAGTTCATTCTAAGTAAGAGA